CACTCAGTGCATCTAGTAAAGAGGTCTCTCCAAGTTCAGGCATGTAGGCACTAAGAGACTGTGGCAGCTGTGCTGCAAGGTAGCCTACCTACTTCTTCAGCTGATGTCAGACCTTGCTGTCATCCACGTAATGCTGGATTTTCAGGCATGCAGAATGCCAGGGATATGGTGTCATCAAGGCTTCCACACAGATTTCAATGGAAGATCTGGGAGACCAGCCCATGTGTGAGAGTCAGTATCCCTGTGGGGCCCTGGAGAGGGCAATGCATGGGGCTGTGAACAGGAAGTATAGGTTGAAGTGGAGACCCCAGGAAGTTAGTGAAGCTGGGAACTTGGAAGCTCTGATGAGGAACAGTGCAGGGAGGCATCAGAACCAGCCTGAAGAGAGGCCACATGAACTGCAAATAGCAAAGCAGGGTAGCAGATCAGGGTAGAGCTGCTCAGTCTCTCTGGAATTCACCTTACCACCAAGTGCCCCTGATGCCAATCATGGAACTACAGGATTTAATGTTTGCCATGTGGGGATTTGGTCTTGCTTTGGACTGACTCTTCTGATTTTGCTATTCCTTCTTTTTTGAAATGGGAAGGTTCATCTTGTGCCATTTTATCTGGGGAGCACATCGATTGTTCTTTGAATATTACTGGGCTCACAGCTAAGAGTTGCCCTGAACCTCAGAAGATTCTTTGGACTTTTGAGAAGCCCCGGTACTGTCAAAACTTTAACAACTCTTATGGATGAACTGAATGCATTTTGCATGAGATAGACATTAGCCTTTGGGGGCCAAGGTAGAATGTTATGTTTGGGATCCAAAATGTCCCCCAAAAGGCTCATGTATTCAGAGTTTGGGTTTTTGGAAGGTGAGTAGATCTGGAGATGCTAATCTTATTAATGGGCTTAATCCATTGATATGCTCAGAGCTGAATGTGCTTTTAGGAGGTAGGGCTCAGTTGGAGGAGGTGGATAGGTAGGGACACAATCTATGACGATATGTTCTTGTCTCTACCTCCTCTCTTTCAGGCTCTCTTCTTGCTCACTACGTTTCCTGTTCCACCATGAGCAGATTTCTTGCGTCATGCCCTTCTAACATAAAACCAGCTTAGCATCGAAACATCTGAAACCATGAGCCAAAATAACCCTTTCTTCCTCTAAATTGTGTATGTTTGGTATTTTGTGCCAGCAGTAGGAAAGTGAATAATACTTGCTGGATGGTTAGCAAAAGTGAACTATGGCGAGTCCTCACCATAACTACAGGGACATGTTCTTAAGGTTGTCCTGAACTGTCTTATAGCTCACACTTCTCTCAGATCTCCTCCAGGATGCTGGGTAATGAGAATCTCTAATTACAGATGGCTATGTGCGAACAAGAACTCTCAGCTACAACATCCACACCTATCTTTAGGTTCTGAACTCGATTTCACTTCAAAAGGCCATGTGGTTATATGATTAGGAAAGACAGAGATGGAGTTCAGGAAATGGATTGTGAGTGTGGGGAATACAGAGAATGCAATTTGAAGCAAATCTGAAAAAGAAAATAGCCCCTCATGGTTCATGTATGTGACTGGAATGAGATGGGAGAGGATTGTCACCTCAGTTGGCTCAGGATTGTGTTGAGACATGTATAGACAAGAATAATTTTTCCAAAATGTGTTCTTTAAAGAAGTAACATAGGGGGCTGGTGGTTTAGCTCAGCAGGCAGTCGTGAGTTTGATCCCTGGTACCGATAAAAAGGAAAAAGACAAAAAAAAAAAAAAAGTAACAAAAATAACTTTGAAAGTGTTTTTGTTTTTCACTTTGTTTTGTGATACTGGAGATCAAGTCCAGTGGTTCCTTAATCATGCTAGGTAGACACTCTTAACCTAGCACTTAGCACTCACTAAGCTATAGCCCCTCTCCAAACTTGATACACTTGAAATCATTGGCCAAATTGGTCTGGGCACTTAATATATCACTACATAACCCCTGTTTATAGGTCCATACTGCATAATTAGCAAATGTGTGACTCTGAAAAGTCTCAAGGCAAAACACTATAATGCAGTTTGTTACTTGGTTTCTTCAAACTTTCTTAAGCCAAAGTCCCATTATTTATCTGATCCATCAATTCCTGTGGCCACTATGATTCTGACATGTAAAGGTGTTGGAGTGGCAAAGTTGCCCTGGAGGTTGAGAACTGACTCTGATGGGTGAACCAATAATGTCATATATAGCCTGTGAGTGTGGGAACAGACTGAAAAACACACCATTACTTTCCAAATACAGGGCTAAATTTAATAAAATGTGATGAAAGATAACTTTCCCAAGAATAGTGCTCCACCCTCCATATAGAAGTAAAATGAAAAAGTTAACTACATATAGGCTTTTGGGGTTATTTTTTGAGTAATGAAAATACTGAGTTACTTAGTGAAGGAAATCACTTTAAAAATACTTATCAAAATGAGTCATTCATTCACTCACTTAATACATAGTGTGCCTATGGACTGCTGTGCGTTGTATAGAAATAGTAAAATACCGAAAACAGGAGCTTTTGGAAGGCAGTGAATCCAATTCTTGCAAGTCAGAGTGGAACAAGTATGTGTAATTTGACTGGTTTAACTGGCACTACATTCTTATCAGAATCATCCTTAGTATATTAAGGCTGATCCCCTTACATCTACCTTAGGATTTACAGCCTAGCCTAAGCCACTACTCTTAGCAGACCCTTATATCTGGTCCTTGTATCCTCATTTCTATCAAAAACCCTGGTACTCCATTTCTCAGCCTTCCTGTTTCTTTACTTGAATTGGCAATGGCTATGGGAAAAAGAATGCTTAGATTGAAGGTAAGATTTTGGTTAGGATTTTTCGCTAAGGCTTTAGCTCCATACTTCTTTTTTTTTTTTTTTTTTTTTTTTAGGCTAGTCTCCATACTTCTTTTTAGAGCTTTATGGTTTCTCACAGAAATTTTGGTAGGTGGATTGTGTGCCATTGTTGGCACTACTTGAAAAGAAACAAACAACAGCATTTGACAGGACAGTTATGATCACCAATAGAACAACTTTATACAGAAGTGACACAATCACAAGAAATTCTTGATGTTTGCAAGAATCTCAGTGTAAATTATACATATACAATACTTTTGGGGCTTTTTTCACTTAGTGATACATCCTACGATCTTCCATCTATTTTTGTAGCTGAGTTATTTTATTTTCTTGGTACTGGGAATCAACTTGGGGACCTTGAGCTTTAGGCAGGTAATATGCCACTGAACTATATCCCTGGCCCAGATGTTGCTTTTTTTCTTTTTTTTTTTTTTTAAATAATCTATTGTCTGTACCACTTTGTTTATTCACTTATCTTTAGGAATATAAAAGAGCATTCTGGGCTGAAGATTTAAATTTGGGGTATGTATAGACATTTGCTTTGTAAAATACACAAGAAGTGCATGTCAAAAGGCTGAAAAAGTACCAACTGAAGAGTGAGGAAGAGATGTATTAAAAAAGAAAAACAAAACCATTTATTAGATAAGAGACCCAGGGGTCTATCATCTCAAAAGGGCACTGGCAACATGGTAAGGGCCCAAAAGATAGGATAGAGCAAGTACAACTTTGACCAGAGAACTCTCTGGTTCCACTAATGTGCTCTAAAATTCAGAAAGCCAAGTACCTGGCCCCACCCCCCACCATCGAGGATAAAGACAATTTCCCTTCCTTTTTCCCTTGTTCATTGAGTTATAGATAAACAATGAACAATTTTATAGGTCACCTCTATTTGTCCATAAAGAAGCTGACAATGCTTTGGCCAGAATCAACTGTCTGTTATAGAGACAGAATTTTAAACAGTTTAAGGAAAAAAAAAGTAGAAGTCTCAATTAGCTGTGTTTTTTTTTTTTTAATATAGTATTTATTTTCCCTGTGTCACACCCTGAGTTCCCCAGGCAGCCTGGGGAAGTATACTGGAAGGAACATATAGGGCAGACAAGACATGAGAGAAAGAACTATGCGAGGTGGAGATGGCTCCTTTACATGGTGAAGAGGATGAGGAAGGCCACCATCAGGCAGAAGAGCCCCATGAACTCTGAGAGGGCAAAGCCCAGAATGGCACAGAAGAGCTGCTGCTTCAGTGAAGGGTTCCTGGCATAACCAATGATGAGGCTTCCAAACACAGTTCCAATCCCAGCCCCAGAGCCAGCCACCCCAACTGTGGCAGCCCTAGCTCCAATGAACTTGGCTGCTGTGTCGATGTGTCTTGAAATGATGCTAGTTTGGAAGCTGTGGCAGGGACAAGTGAGGTCAGGGAATGAGGGACTGCAAAGCTGCTGAGGCTCTCTCATCTGTCGGTGTCTTTGGTCTGTTCAGCACTACTGCAGATAGTGGTCAGCTCAGCAGCTGGGAGGTGCTCCTGACCAAGGACAGGGTGGAAACAAATGTAAAGCACGTGTACATTTTCAGGGGGTGAGGGACTGTGGCAGCAGAGCTGTTCCCAGTGCAGAAACGACAGAGGGGGCTCAATTAGCTTTTAAATTCAAAACTAATTTATGTAAATTCTTGCCTTTAGGGGTTAGACAAAGTTATAATCCAGGAGACAGCGTCCTTTATTAGAAAGAGAAGGGGCTCTAAGGAGTTTATCTAAGAGCCACATGATCTCCAGTGGTATTCAAGTAAATTAACAGTAATATCTAACACTTACTAGTACTTCCAAAATGCTAGTAGCAGTCTAAGGTTCCACTGTCCAATTTAATAGCTAAGCTGTGTGAAACCATTCAGTTTTTAATTATGTGTGATCATCAACACTTCTTAGAATGGGGGAGGGAGATATAGTTCAAGGGCACTGAGCTCCGAGTTCGATTCTCAGTACCAAAAAACAAAGCAAAACCAAACCAAACCTTCAAAAATCTTCCTAGAACGTAAAACTATAGAACCAAAAATATCATAAATACATTAGAAATTATGTGACATCTTCATGTTTGATGCTAGACGCAAATCAATCTATTTGGTATTACAATTTTAAGAAGCTAGGTAACAACATTAAAATCTAACAACATTTTTATTTTTCAACAAAATAAATATTGCTACATAGTTTTCTCTGCAATTATAAATTAAGTAGCCAGGGTCAACAACACATGAATTTATAAACCATTTAGCTTGTTTTTTCATTCACAAACATTATATAGTATTTAAGAGTAATGAAACTATCTTATGATTCGAATTTGAGAAATCTATGGCAAGTTTTAAAAATGCATTAATCAGGGTATAATTTTAAATTTAATTTACACATATATCACAACTAAAATGTATTCAGCATGAACATCAATCCTTGATTATTACCTCCCAATGTAAGTTCTGATAGTTTTCAGGAGTTCTCAACTAGTGGTGACTCTCTGCCCTCCAGGGCCCATGTGTTGCTGATGTAATTGTGGTCATCACGGCAAAAAGGTGCAAAATGGCAATTAGTGTGTAGAGTAGACGATGCTACTCACTCATCCTACCATGCACCCAGCAAAGAATGACAAACACCAAAGGCTGATATGACCAATGGCTAACTCCTAGTAAGTGAAACCTAATTCCCATTTTGAGTTTCCTCTCTGGGTACTGTAATTCTCAAAACAGACTTTCCTAACTAAAATTCCCATTTAAAGTTCTCTCTAACTGACATCATTACCAAAAGAATTCACTCTAAGTATCAGAATGATAACTTTCCAGAATGAATAAACCATAAAAGCAACTTAAAATGATACAAATCAGAATTACAACTGGCATCTTACCTGTGGGAACAAAGCATCCAAACAAATGTGGAATGAAAATAATCTGAAAGAGGCAAAGCTTCTGCACTGAATATGTACAGGCTTCTTATCATGATTTTCTAAATGACGTGGTGTAATAGTTCCACAGCATGTACATAGTATTAGTTAATATAAGCAACCTATAGACAATTTAAGCTATAGGGCAAGATGTGCATAGGGCATATGCAAATACTACACTATTTTACTATGTACAAGGAACTTTAGTATCTCCACATTTTGGGATGAGAGGAGCCTTAAACCAATCCTGTCTGTAACTGAGACATGACGCTTAAATCATTTCATTTCTTTTGAACTTGCTCTGCCAGTTTAATCTAGTAGGACTGTTTTGAGGTACCCAAAGAGTTTTCCTTACCTATTTTTCTGGACTAGGATACAAATTTACTGATACATAAAGCACCTGGCAACTAGTACTTTGAAAAAGTTGAAAAGGGAAGAGCTTTACTTATTTTTTCAAATTTGTCATACCCCTGTGCTTGGACAGGCTAAATTAACCTGTATTTGCATTTCTACATTGCAACCCAATCTCTTACAAACAACTAGCAGTACAAATATGAGGAGTACATGATACAGAATTACAAGTTAGTTGGTTTCCCACACATTTTGGTTGTAAAGTACCCATGTATCATGACAAAGTCTTAAGAGGGAGCTCAACACAATAAAAAAATTCTGATTCACTAGGTAAAGACACTAGTAGTTATCTATATATTCACATTCTATGTATTTTCTCATGGTCCACAAACTGACTCAAGTGATCTAAGTTGTCCCACCATTTAAAGAGAAAAGCTTCTACAATAATCTTAAACCACGGAGTTATCTTAACTTCACCTCTAGCTGCTTTTCTCATCAACTCTTTTAGTTCTTCCTTTGACACATAACGATAGCTTTTAACCTCATTGGGGTCTGGATTTAAAGTTACATTTTTTCTCACGAACAAAATGTAATCAATTTCATTTTCACCCCAGATACTGTCAGACTGTGCCTTGTAATGAAGGCGTGTTACATAATCAATTTCTTCTGGTAAAACCTAGGATATTAAAGAAAAGAAAAAGCAATGTGATGAAAATATAAAAAAAAAAAGCATTCTAAAATTCACATTTCAACAGTATCTCAAAAAGAGGCAGTATAGTTCTAGAATTAGAACTTTTAAATCATTAATCTGAGAATACACAGAAAAATTACATTATTTCAATTTTTTCCCATAGGACTAGGCATGTAAATTCATTTTTAGAAATATTCTTAAAAATAGTAGTTATTCATTCATTCATAATTTTTAATGAAATATTCATCTTTTCAAATTACTTCTTGATGAAAAACAATTATCATTTTAACTAGATGAGAGAAAACTTGCCAATCTTAGTTATTTTCAACAGAGTAGAGTATGTGAGAGTTTATTTAAGTTCACTCAATCAATTTCTAGTTTATATTTCCATAAGAACATGGTCATCAGGCTGGGGATTTAGCTCAGCGGCATAAGCACCTGCCTTGCAAGCAGGCGGTCGTGAGTTCAATCCCCGGTACCGATAAAAAAGAAAAAGACAAAAAAAAAAAAAAAAAAAAAAGAACATGGTCATCTTTGATACAATTAATTATAAAAAATTATACCAACAGTTCATGCTACAGACTAATTAACAGACCCACCCATCTCAGTATTGAGCAAAGCTCTGACAAGTGATTTTACAATTTGTATTAGGCTAAAGATATAGCTCAGTGGCAGGGCATTTGAGGAAAATATGCACAGTAGGCTCTGCCTTTGACCCAATAACATATCCACATAAAGAGAGAGAGAGATAGATAAATAGATGTTTTACTATATGCTTAGACTTCAGTCTGTATTACTGTCCAATAAAAGTAGTTACCTCTTCTAAGGGAATTCCTAATTCAGCTTTTAAACGCCTCTGTGCTGCTCTTCTGACACCAATAGCCTCATTTTCTTCAAGTTCACTTGGATTATTTAATGGATGACTACAGCAAGTGTTGGTAAAACAACCTGGAAAATGTTAACATGGATATAGATTAATCTTATTTCAAAGTAGCTCTGAATGACTGAAGAAAGGTTTTAAAAATGAAAAATACGAAAAATGATCCTTTAGGATTTTAAATCAGTTATAATGTGTTATTAGCAATTATTCTGTGACAAAAATATATGGGTTCTTTTTAATGTCTTCTTAATCAAAAGCATCAAAATCAGTCAATAGTACAAAGTTAGAAGTATCTGTATAAACACAGACATATGCTTATGTCTATATGAATAGTTTTGTCATTCCTGTTCCACTAGGCTACTCTCATTGTGTAAGTTTTTCTTTTTGTTATTTTTATGTTTTTTATTTTTTCTGGTACCGGGGATCAAACTCATGACCATGCACTTGCCAAGCTAGCATTTGTGCTGCTGAGCTAAATCCCTGGCCCTGCATAAGCTTATTTTGTATAGCACATAAAACCATCATTCATGGCATCTTCCTTTTTTTTTTTTTTTTTTAAAGTTTTTATTGGTACCAGGGATCGAACTCACGACTGCCTGCTTGCAAGGCAGGTGCTTATGCCACTGAGCTAATCCCCAACCCCAGCATCTTCCTTTTTGACCTTGGCTCCAGAAGTTCACAATGAGAAAAAGTCAAATTAAACATAGTTCCACCCAAAATCAACCTAGTACACTATATATACTAACCTGGAAAGGTAATTTTAGCATCTGACCTCTGCTGTAACAGGAGCTTATTCTCATCATTGAACAAGAAGACACTGAAAGCTCGATGCAATAATCCTGCAAGCAGAAAGATTAATTTAATCATGCAATTCTTCCTTGCAAATCAAAATACTATTAGTAACTTGTTGCTGCTTTGTTTTTTTTTCCCATAGTCTCTTATGTGGAGAGGTTCTTCATAGCTATGATGAAGAAGAGCTGTAGTATAACAGCATGGAAAGCAGTTACCCAGTGAAAGAAAGGGTGATTTTGACAGTTCTGCCACTGATGAAATGCCCTATCAAGAATATTTAGCCAAGACTCTTTTCTATTCCTGGGGGACTTGTGAAGGTACAGACATGCTTCCCTTTTTGTTTCTGCCTCTCACTTTATTCATTAGACTTATAAACTTGATAACTGCTATGTCAGGCTTAGTCCATTCCCTTTTAGAAAAGAGAATAACCCTGAAACACCTTCATGAAAGCGATGATGTGAAGAGAAACGGTCATTAAACAGGAAAGTAAAATGTAAATTTTATAACTACACCATTTAATTGGAACCAAGTGGTTCTAATCAAGAATTTCATCTCAGCAAGACGTGGTGGACACAACCTTAGTTGTAGTCCTAGCACGCGCGCGCGCGCACACACACACACACACACACACACGCACACACACACACTGCCAAGCTGAAATGCCCAGACAAACTCATTTTAAAACAGTGTTTTTAAAACAGTACCTTTCTCAATGTTTTCGTTTAGGTGACAATTCTTCTTGGTGTCAGCTCCAATTTTATTGTCATTTTCATCAATAAGAATACACATCTCTGCCAGCAGTTGAACCTGTTGCTTATCGAGATGGTTCATATTTCTTTCAGGCATCTTGTCAAAACGTCTGATGTGTCCCAAAACACTAACACTGAGGAAGAAAGGCCATTACATGCTGTTTTTCTGATGTTGTAAACAAAAGTAACAACGACACGACATCTGAGTACAATAAGAAATTCAGCCATTTCAAAGGTTAAGAACCCGGCCCGCTTTTGAGGACCAAGCAGGAGAGGGCAGTCCGTCAATTCTCGCAAAGACGCCACCTTTCTCAGTTACCTACCTCCCCGACTTTTCCCACTGGTCTACCGTATGAACCCCGTGACAGGGCCCTTATATCCGCCCTAGGCCTTTGCCCCGCGCCCCTTTATATCCCAGCAAGGGAGACAGGTACCTGAGGATGGTGATGCTACCAGTGTCAGGGGCGCGCTCTATTTAAGCAAAAAGCACAACGTGTTCTCCCCTCCGATCCCGCCCCCAAACAGCGCGTCCAATCGTCCGCGCCAGCGACTGCCCGCACCATAGGCTCCGGCCAATCAGTGGTGGCGCGTGAGTGACGTAAGAAACGCGTCTAATGTGGCGAGGTGGTACCACTTCCCTGGACCGCACTTGCGAAGAAAAGTCGGGGCCTTTGAGGGAAAGTAGAGGTCCTGCGTCGAGAGTTCGGGCCTCGTGTGCTCTCGGAAGGAGATATTGGTCGCCGGTGCTCCAAACCTGCTTAATGAAAGCTCTGTAACTGGGGAAACCTCTGAGGAACTTCGGCCAAGACTCGCCCATCGGCCGCCAGCCGGGTGCACGGGTCTGCACCAGGGAGTTTGAGGAAGGCCGGGGTGTGGGGGTGGCGCGGGTGCGTCACGTGCTGACGTCAGACGTCTCGGCCAGCGCTCCAGCGAGGCGAAGCTTAAGGTCGCCTCCTCCAGTTGTGTGTCTGCTACTCTGAAGCGAGATGTAGAGCGCTTAGAGTTCATTACTTGGACTCGTACCGTGGTGTCGTTAAGAAAAGCATTAAGTGCCAAAACTCTGCTTAACAGGATTCATAATGGACATTTTTAAAAACCAAGAATCACTCTTGATATGTTCGTTGGGAAGAAACCACCACCACCACCAAGAGTTACATTATTTGGAAATGGAATTTGCCCTTAAGAATGTACTGTACATTCTAAAGCAGTGATAAGACTACCGCTGATTCGCAACTAGTGAAAAATTGTTTAGCAATTCCTGCTGATGACAAGACAGATCGAGAAACTTCTACACTTGTATAGAGTTAACTTGGCACGTTATATTATGCTGTCGGGTGGCAGTCCTTTTCTTGTTGAATAAAGGCTGTATTTTTAGGAATGTTTTACTTCAGGTTAATTTTTTTGTAAATTTTAAGATAATCATAAAATATGCATACAGTTGAGTTATTTCTTCTATTATGTCTATGAAATTTAAAATAGTGAATTGTCAGCTATGCATACGTGGTCCACTTGGTCAGACTGGGTCTATGGGTAGTTTTGCATTTAAAATTTATTGACCTAAATAAGTTTTTTCATACTGTTACTTGTACTTTTATTTATATTAAAATTTAAAACATTAAAACCTCAACTCAAAAGTAACTCACTTAAAAGTAAACACTGCATATCAACATAGATGACATTTTTAAGTAAAACATGCAAAATAGCTGTTCTACATTTTTGCAAATCTCTAAAGAAAATTTGGCTTTCTAAATAAGTGTGGTTGGAAAGTTGAGATGTATTAGCCTTTCAGATAATTAAGGTTTGTTTTTATTTTTAATTTTTCTGGCATTGGACATTGAACCTAGGGCCTTTGCACTGAGTGACAGTCCTGACAGCTTTTATTTTTTCATATTGAGACAGGTCTCATTTGTACTGAGACAGGATAGCTGATAAATTGCTTATGCGGGGTTCAAATTTACAGTCCTGCCTCAGCCTCCTGAGTGCTGAGATAATAGGCATAGGTCAGCACCACACCTGGCTTGGCTTTCTTTTTAGGTACTGTACTAGAACACAAGATATGTATTTTTAAAAATGTATTTGCCATTTAGAATCTGAATTCTACTGAGTATTTCATGTTGTTGTATTTAATTTGATTTGATTGTACCTTGAATGTGTATTTCCCCAAGTGCGATTTTGTAATATGTTAATCACTTGGAAAATATTGATCTTGCTGAATTATCTAGGTCTTTAAAGTATTAATGCTGTACATTTTATTCAGTTTAAACAACCACATTTATTAATATCCCCAGAAATCTCATAAAAAGAAGCTTTACGTGTTGGAAAGCTGTCAGATGCTTGATGGCAGATAGGAGCTTTTAAAATTAGAAAATTTTCTGCATGAAAATTCTAATTTTGTTACTGGCAGCAAGTACAATAAGTTATTTTTCTTGAAATTCAGGCTCATGTCATGTTCCTCCAAGTGACTGCCAAATACCTACGTCTGAGCAAACTTGGTGTATCTTATGAGTTACTTCTAGTAAAAATGATATTTCATGAAAAAAAAAACCCCAGTTACTTAGTTCAGCTTACAACTCAGACTTCTCACAAGTGCTTTTCTTGGAGATAGCACAGTTTTCATCTTGTAGAGAAGTACACTGAGTGTACTTCCCATTTTTTACATAAACCGTTAAAAAAAAATAATACTGTTGTGATTTGGATCTGAAATGTCTCCCGGAAGCTCAAGTGTTAAGGGCTTGGTGCCCATTTTGAGAGTGTTCCATTCCAACCCTTTCTGGGTATGTGTGTACCCGTGTGTGTGTTTCTCTTTCCTTCCTCTTCCTGGCCACCACATGCTCCATGCCATGATGTTCTGTCCCATAATAGGCCCTGAAACCATAAGCCAAACTAGACATTTTTAGAAATTGTTTCTCTCAGTTTTGTCATGGTTACAGGAAAAATACACACAGTACCTTAAAATTAATATTTTATATTTTAATTTATTAAAATATATTTATATATAATATAAAAATATATTTATAAGTTATAAACATACTCTATGTATATTGCTCCAAGAGCATAATGGTGATACAGTGACTTTTTTTTTTATTTTTATTTTTTAGACTAGTCAAGTGCAGTAGTGAGAAGGGGGAAAGAGTAGAACAAGGAGTTCAATCTGTACTGACTGTGAACAATGAATTGAGATAACTCACTACCTTTGGACCAGCCGATACAGTGATTGTTTTACAGTTTGGTAGCATTGCCTTGATTAAGGCAAGGTAGCAGCAGTTTTATCCCTATCCTTCCAATCGTGCCCTCACCTTCCTTACTCCTTTCACTGTTGCAGTTCTCGTTTTTGCATCAGTGATGCAAATATCAGCACTATGAACAGATGAAATACACACCTCATTTAATATTATAAAAATATTTTAACATCATTAATATCCTAAAATTCTTATAAACAAAAAATTCTTGAAAATAGTAATACACAGCACACTTTTCATTAGCCTTTATAGAGATTTCATCCTATATCTTGTAGCATATGGAAAATTTCCCTGTACACTCATGAGAAAATCAGAGTTAAAAAGGCAACTGACAGTCGATGTTATGAAATTAGTTTCTATTTCATACAGTGCCAGATGGTTTTCCAGAATGCTCGGAAGGTGCTGTGCCACTTTTTGAGAACTTCCCATGTTGTAGAATGCCTGTTTCCCGTGCTGTGGAAGACCAGTTCCTATCTCAGTGTTAGGGCGTGAAGTCCATTGTGATGCTGTCAAGAAGTAGGGGCATAAGATATGATTGTGTCATGATGGCTCTTCTATGATCTTATGTTCGAATTACTTAATATTCTTTGAAGATTAAAAATCCAAAATAAAGAGGGGTATTTTTAGACAATATAACATGAGTGGTATTAAAGTAAAAGAAAATGTCTTTGAAAATTTCATTTAAAACGGTAAATTTAGGAAAGGTTGCAGGGAAATGTGCAGAAATGTTTATGTGTGAGTTACTATGGTGTACTATGGAACTCTACACAAATTAAAGTTAGAAATTCTCACTTTATAGTTTGAATGTATCCCCACAAATTCATGTGCTGGAAATTTAAGCCCAGTGCAGCAGTGTTGGTAAGTGGGGCCTAATGGGAGGTGTTTAGGTCAGGACTGCGCCTTTGTGGGAAGATTTATGCATCTATAAGGAAGGTTTGTGGGCGTGGGTTCTGTCTCTTCCCATCTGTACAGACCAGTTGAGTCAGTTTCCTTGTAGTAACATTTTTATTCATCTCTTTCACTTTCTTTATATGTCTGAAATGTACCTTTTCTTCATCCATTTCTCTATCAATCAGTATATCTTATTCAGCCTTCAAAGTCCAGTTTAAATTTCATTTTTTCAGTGCATTTCCCAACAGAAATCCCTAAACTATAAATACATAGTAGTTAATATAGTTAATGGACTTTATTTTGCTTCATTATTGTTAGTTTTTTCTTAAGGAATTTCTAATTTTCTTGGGGTCTGAGAATGTATGTCTAATAAAAGCCAATAACATTCCTTATAATAATAGCTGGAGTCCTTAATAAAAGGGATGGAAGTAAATATTCCCTCTATTTATATTTTTGATGGTCTTACCTTCTCTTTGATTTTGTGATAACATAGATTGATGTGACCAAACATTATGGAAGTACTCATACACCACAGTATTTTCATTCCAACACTCCTTTGAAGATTCTATTAAGTAAAATGGTGCCATCAAAACTGGTGACAACTAATATTTCCATCATAATGTCTTTGCATATAATCTTGGAGAAATTCAGGATTCTGAATGCACAATAGAAGAAGTACACTATGTGTGTATAGGTCTATGTATGTAATTGAGATGCATACACATATTTCCAAATGGCTAATATTAGCAAAAAGAGATTTTGGAGTTTCAGCTCAGTCTCTTATTCTGTGACCCTAAACTATTTACTATGTTGAGGATTTTCTTTTCCAAATAGGCATAATATGAGATATCTCATAATATCTGCTGTTGATATTTTTAATCATGTAAATGCTTATGGGCTACATTGTTTTAAAATTTTTAAGTATTTTTATTAGTACATGTTTATAGTGCCATATGGCTATTCATCATGAGGAGCTGGTACGTGTACATAACACATCTTAATTATTTTTACTTAAGTTATGAGAAAAGGTATCAATTGTGTGGATTAGAGACCAGTATAAATTTATTCACAGTACCTTTTTTTTTCCTTTCATATGTACTTTTTGCTATCACAGAAATAGTTTACAGGTATGTTTGGTTGTTAAGTAAGGGTCTCCAACATTTTATCCATTGATAATTATCCCATTTTGTAACTCTTAAGTGTAGGTATGAACAATATAAGTTTCTTTATTAAAGATCTGAAAAACTGGGGCTGGGGATTTAGCTCAGTGGCATAAGCGCCTGCCTTGCAAGCAGGCAGTCAAGAGTTTGAACCCTGGTACCAATAAAAAGGAAAAAGACCAAAAAAAAAAGATGAAGCCTACAGTTTAAGGCTTCATCATGCTTGCTATAAAACAGCTGTCTGCTTTTCGTCACATGGACAATACACAAAGTAATAAGCTGTATTTAAAAACTAAGGATGATCACTTAATACAAAAGATGTAAAAATGTCTTTCAAGGTAAGATATAGGTGGCATTTACTCTTTGTACACTTCCAGTGTCATGGATGAGATTCAGGAGACTTAGGCCAGCAAGTTAGTGCAGATATTTTCCAATGAAAAGACAAATATATACAGGGAGAATGCCATGTGAACCCTGAAGTTATACTGCCAGTAGCCAAGAGTACCAAGATTGCTGAGAAATTCCTGAAATGTGAATGGCATAGAACAGATACACCTATGCAAATCTCAGGAGGAAACAACCCTGTTCAACATCTTGCTCTTAGAATTCTAACCTCCAGAACTACAATACTGTACATTTCTGATTACACCATCTAGTTTGTGGTATTTTGTTACTGCTTTCTATTAAATTAACACTATGGAGGGGCTGGGGATTTAGCTCAGCGGCATATGCGCCTGCTTTGCAAGCAGGCAGTCGTGAGTTTGATCCCCGGTACCTATAAAAAGGAAAAAGACAAAAAAAAAAAAAAAAAAAATTAACACTGTGGAAATGTGTGATGGCACATGCTT